GTCACCTCCCAGATACAAAATTCATAAGTCATACTTTTGTGTGGCAACAATGTAACATCAAATTAAGAAACAACTGTATATTACATTCATGTAAAATGCTACACAGTTTTCTTTCATTATTTTTTAATCAAAATAGATGCAGTTTCAGTTTCACCAAGGAAATTGCAATGCAAACAACTTTGAATGTTGAACTCCACCATCTATTAATTATTTTAGGGTGAAACAGCTTCTTCTAGTAATCATAGAATCAAACCTCAACAGAATCTACTTGTCCTGAAACAAGTGCATAGAAAACACAGTAAGATCATTTATATCTGTTTTTTTATTATTATTAATATTTGGATTGTTAACATAACCATCTTGTCATTTGTGAAATTGTAAGTGAATTACAATTGCATATAAAATTAATATTAATACAAATTAATACTAATAACACAAAAATGAAGATTAAATTGTATTTAACCCTGGATATGATGTTTAAAATAGAGTAAAAGATTGACTGAAGGCAACTGTTAGATTTATTACTCTTAAAATCATATTATTCTTTCTTTTATCATTATGGAAAATGAGTTGCGTTCCTCAAAAATAAATATAGTTGCACTATTTGTGTGGGAAAAAAGAGAATTACCGGATGCCCTCTTTTACCTTGTCTGCTATGTACTATCACAAACAACTATTTCCCGGACTCAGAGTTCTCATCTGCGGAAGACAGATGTGATAAACTTTAATAGAGAGTGTTCTCTCAGGCATAACAAGTGATTGTTATTCTCTATCAGCAAAGTGTTTCAGGTGTCACGAAAGGTTGGCGCATGGGTGCTTTCCGAGAAATCACCTCTTTTCAGAAACGGATATAAACTCCCAGGGATACTGCCCTCCAGAAGCAGTGATTATTGAATAACCTTTGCCTTGCCTTGCCAAAACGACTCTTCATTTTCTCCTGATGTGCTCCTACCTGGAAGGCCACCGCAGTAGTGTTTCTGCCAATGAAAGCACGTGGGCAGCCACTGGCAATTTGTCCCATGAAGAGAACCTTGATTATACCACTTTTGATTCTGATGTTTTGAATGTCTTCATCTTGGTGGTCTATGCTGTGATCAGTGTCTTGGGGCTAGTCTGCAACACAGTAATTATTGCAGTTATGCCATTATGTGTTAAGATGAGGAGCGTGAATGATGTACTAATATGGAACCTTGCTGTGACAGATAGCATGTTACTGCTGGCTGTTCCTGTCCACCTAGTGGAGGTTCTTCTGTCAGGTTGGCCATTTGGGCAGGTGTTTTGTAAGATCCAACTGTCAGTGAGCTACTTTAATCACTTTGGAAGCAGCCTCACACTGGTTGTAATGAGCCTGGATAAGTGTTTAGTGGTGAAGCAACGTTTTTTACTAAAATGTCACAGAAGATCTGTTTTGGGCTGGAAACTCTGTTGCCTCATTTGGTAAGTATTTTGAATTTGTTCATATATACAGTATGGTTGCTTAAGGAGTGCTAAATATTTATTTTTATCAACAACATAGCCTGAAAGCAGAGTTTGTGACCATTTAAACTGGAGGTTGAACTGCACTCAGTGTAATTATAATTCTGATGGTGATTAAAAAAATTCAAATTAAAATTACTGTTAAATGATGTACTAAAAAATAATTGTCTTGTGCTGCAGAAAGACAGCACAATTTATGTACTATTCAATGAATTAGAACTGTTCTGGTTAACAATAATATTTTATACCAATATTTACTATTCAGCTGTGTAATTGAAATGCAGAAATAAACTTTTTTTACACTGTAAAAATGTAGGAGAAGTACTGTATCTTGCATACATAAACAATTGACAGCTACATGTAAAGATAAATGTCATATCTTTTTCAGGTTTAATAGGGAAAAAAGGTTAATAGTTAATAGTGGTTTTCACTATACAGAGTTTAATCTTAATTAACAAAGAAATAAACAAGGAATGAAAGCCATCAGATGGAAACATGATTTGGCAAAATTAGGCTTTAAAACTCAAGGTCACTGAGAGCACTTAAAATTCTTCTTTCACAGCTGATTAAGAACAAAATATTAAATGGTATCGCTAACATTTCGGCTTCCTCGTTTACTGTATGCTCATAAACCATTTAAATTTTACAACATATTGTTTCTGAAGTGAAGTGGATTTTTAAATGAGGAATAAACTGGCCCCTGTGTCGGTCACGAGAGCGTTGCTTTGAACAGCTAACAATTAAAAAAGACCGGACTGACTTCAGATGAAAAGGGTTTTGGAGTCTAGAACAAGCTGCTCCGTCTTGCTTTTGAAGATACATTTGGCTTCTTTCAAGTAACAGCTAGATAAGGTCCTCAGATCAATTAGCTACTAGCAACCAAATTAGCCAGATGGGCCAAATAGCCTCCTCTTGAATGTAACCAGACATAAATGGAAGATGCAGAAACGCGCATTCATTTTCCTTTTTCTAAGCATTTGGGATTGGATGCCACAAACTAAGAAAATGAGGCAGTGCATATTCATAACGTAGCCACAGCTAAAGCTTCACAATATTTAACAACTGATCTACTGTACAAAAGAGACCCCTGTGTTTTCTTAATGTCTACCTTTCTTGTGTAATACTTGCGTTCAATAATTTCTCCTTCTCCTCTCTTCCATGAGGATCCTTGCACTGCCGCTAGCAGCTCCTGTAGGCATCATGGCCACAGCGAGGCCTGCTCCTCCCTTGGGCAGTGCAGTGTGTTTGCTGGTGTTCCCAGACCCAGAGTGGTGGTGGGCGGCTCTGTGGAAATGGAGCACATGTGCGATGGCCTATATTCTCCCTGCCTGCATCATGGTCACCTGCTACTCCGTGCTGCTGCAGGCGCTGCATGCTGCAGGGCGCAAGTTTCCTATCAGGAGGAAGGCCGTAGGCTGTGCTACCAGGAGAGTTGTTTACTTGGTGGGAGCTTTCGTGGTTTGCTGGACACCCTTCTATATGTTCACGGTTATAGACCTGACTATTCACCTGCAACCGAGCTACAGTGTGGAGACAGCCAGACGGCTTTTCATCATTCTCGGGACATTAAACAGCTTCATTAACCCAGTTTTGCATGGGTTCCTCAATGAAAGGGTTCGCAGCCATTTAAAATTACCGCTTTGTGTTTGAAATGGGAAAATGATTTTTCTGATGTGTTCGTTTAAATTGCATTTTTGTGTAACAGTTAGATTACAATGTAAGCTTTGATATGCGCCGTTTATATTTTTAAATTGTACAGATGATAGAATATTGGATTTCATGGAACTGTATAGTAGAAACTGAAGAAAAATGCATAAGAGGTGAAGTGAGGTCTTGTGGTGAAGTGACAGGGAGTATGACTCTGAAGTAGAGCAACTTCGGTTTGATCGTTTTTACTTGTGAATCCTTACTAAAACTGATTGAAGGTACACAGTATATCCATTGAGCTATTTTCAAAGTGCTTTCCTGCAGCTAAAGATGTGTTGCATATTTCTTTCTAAAAGAACAGCAGGTGTGAAGTTTAGAGGTGCAAGTGGGTTTAAAGTGGAAGAATGCTAAGACTGAGGCACAATACATTTTGAGAGTTGTCCTTTTATGTCTACCAACAGAGTTCCTTCTATCCCATCAACAAAAACCTCATTGTGAATGCGACATATTGTTGCGATCTGCTCTTCCCTGAAATGGACTGTTCTTCTGCCCTCTGACCTTTCCCCTCTGGCTCTCCCTTTCCTGCTTTTTGCCACTGAGAGACCCCTGCTTGTTCTCTTCCTGTCTGGAATCATCCAGGAGCAGCTTCTCTCTCTTTTCTTCTCCTCTTCATCTTGCTTTTCCTACCTCCTCACCAGTTCCTACTTTCCACTTGCTGCCAAAGCTCTATGTCACAATATTGTAAACAGAGAAGGAATACCCGCAAGTTAGCATTTCTTAAAACATAAAGAACAGGAATCCTTACATTTATTCTGTTGGTTGTTAAAAATCATGGATAACAACAAACTATATATTTATGTACTATACCCTAGTAAATATTTTGTCTAATAATTAAGAAATGTATATTATTGGCTTTCAGATTATTTTGTGATGTTTGTGTTTATTTAGAATGCCAAAGTTAAAAAAAAAACATTAGAAAACATTATTTTCATGCTAAGCAGCAGAAACAAATATTTATTTTGAATGCGGTTTATACCCAGTGATGAATTGTGAATTTTCCAGGGTGTGTAATAAAATTATCCTCTATTGCATTATGTATTTTCCAAGTGTTTTTGCATTTTTTGAAAAAAAGGCTTTTACTTTAAAAAATATCAAATGAAACAAACCATGGTACATTTACATTTTCTTGCAGTATTTCAGCAGTCTACGGACCGGCAGTCTCTACAGCTCAAGTCAAAGGTAAAAGAATAGCATTTACAGCATCTCAGCTAAAAGGACCATGGATGTTAGCACTTCTCCGGTGCAGCTGAGACAAGACAACATGGGCTGGTGGATCAACCAAAGTACTGTCTCATTCACACAGTAAGAAGCATGCCATAAAACAGGCTTCAGCATGCACAGTATGTGTTTGACGCCTGTAGCTTTATCCATTGATAGAAATGGCATTTTCACTACTACAGTATGTAGATGGCACTCTTTTCTTTGGTCAAGAAGGCCCTCGAAACACTTTGTGTGTATAGCACTGCACATAAAGGAACCCCAAACCCTGAAGTGCAGCACTCACCTGGGTGAAAAAGACACTACAGTATGTGCCAGCTGTCCCACTATACAGACCTGGTGAAGAACAGAGAAATTGCTTCACTAATTAAATTAAGGAGTGATTTCTAAGAAACCAGCTCTGAGGGATATCTGTATATCTTATGGACAGCTCCATGTCATATTGAATCAGGTATAAGCAGAAAATTCAAACATAAATCCTTCAATTTGAAAACGAATCGAAAACTTAAAATATATAAAACAATTCATATTAATTCTTTCAAAGATTAAATTGTATTTTTGTTCTTTATGCCCCAAAGAACTAATTGATATTTTACTGGGGAAGTGACCACATAAACTTTATAAGTTTAAACAGAAATAAAAGAATACAAATACCAAAACAAGAGGATATACAGTATGTTATCGTCAGCAGAATGGCAAATCATTTCAACTGGACTAAGATCATACAGTACATATTCTCTCAAAGCATATGAGCTTACACTGAATTACAAAAACAGAGGTATATACAGTACAGGGCTCTGCCTTTTTGTAAAGTGCAACCCTGACTTAGGAGTGATATAATTGCAAAAAAAGCAAAACAAATCAAATACATAATGTGTAAAAAGTCAGGTACCAGGCATTTGGCATACAGAAGAGTGTTGTGATGCGACAGATGGCCACATTTGTACCTTTTTTTAGACATTCCATTATATCTGGGGCCACAAATGTTTACATAAAAAGACCCTGAGTGTCTTTTTATCCACTCTGAGATAAGAAAAGACAATTCTAGCATGGTAGCATGTCCTGGCTGAGTTTTTTCTTGCGGTTGCCTCGGAGAAGAATGCTGTCCATGTGTATCAATGCCTGTCCGATGTCAGTGTTCATTCTGTTGCCGAAAGTCTGGTTCATCGTGTTTGGCACTTTATCTGAGAACACAGTCACATACGTAGGTAAGGCCTTCTCTTCTCTCAGCCTTCCCTGGAAGAAAGATAAGAAAGAGAAATGCCCTGCTGTGAGGCTGTGTGTTCAGTAATCCCAAGCAATTTCAAGTTTAGGGCTTGAGACAATCAAGTCTATCCGTCTGGCCAATCATTCTCTGAACTGTATCTGAGCTTTTCACCACACTGGGAAACAAATTTGTAGAGGATCAAGTGTAGCCAATAATTATTTCTAGACTTTTCTGAAAGCTTATTTCTGTTTCTGTAAATGGTTGTAAAGTTATAGTCATGTTCATCTGGGTGTGATTGTGTAAATCATCCTAAATTGATGTTTTACGCCCATGTTTACCCATCTTTCAATAGAAATTATCTTTATATATGTTTTAGACACATTATATGTACATTTTAAAAAGCAGAAAAGCTGAAATTGCAAGACAGAATGCCTACTGTATATTCTAAATGACCTTACCAGCTGGTCATAATTCTTAAGAAAACTCCAGTTCTTTTGCCTGTTGACAAGAAAAAAAGAAAATTAATAAAACACACATATGTATCATAAGATACAGAATAGCTTGTGTTGATGCTAGAAGGCCATGGTGCCTGGTCTTCTGGATTTTGTTCCAATCAAGTTCTTAATCACAAGCTAATTTAATTTTGATTTTCAAGTTTCGATGTATTTTAAAATGTGTTTTTCAGCTCTTAAAAAATTGAATGAGATTTTTAATTCGTATCAGCCCCTCTTCAAATTCCTGGGTTACAGAACTGAAGAGGATATATTATGTAAAGGTTTTCTCATGCAGTAGTAAAATAAAGCGCATGTTCTGTAACGGTGGGTATCTACTGTAAGTATTCTAGCAGAAAGCTTCCTTATGGCTGGGAACCCGGGTAAATTACAGTCTTAACGCATTAAACATGCATCACCACAACAAACAGTCTGGAAACGAAAGCAAACACAATACTGTTGAGTATGCACCGTCACAGTAGAAAAGTGAATATACAGTACAAATACACTATAACGATATTTTAATTTGTAAAACATAAGAACATTTTATGCTAATTAAACCTCTGTAATGTCTTTGTGATAGAATGTGCTTCGTTGTACGTTTTTTCCCGGGATTAAGAGTGAAGTATGCCTTTTTTCAGAGTGTGAGGAGTAGTATTTCACTTACCATTGTCTAGCTCCTTCCAATTCTGCGTGCACAAACTCCCTCCACACCTGGTCTTGTTTTACAGGGTCTTTGTAGTCGGGGTCCACAGCTGACTGAGACTTATTTCCAGACGACACTGCCCTGCTCTTCTGTCTGGAGACGGACACAGAAGAATTCGATGTCACAGCAGCGACTGGTCTGTCTGGCAAACGATACCCTGCCGACGTTGCTCGCCTAAAATTGGTCTGAGGGCTCGCCATCGTAAATTAAATGAGAGAGAGAAAACGGAGACTTAAACGCAGACGTCTCGTCTTCCAAATTGCTTGACTTTTATTCTCGGTTTTGAGCTGTTATTTCTACCGTATTGAGAACAAAGTAGTTGTTTTTTTCTGAAATAAATACAGACAGTCCTTGGCTGAGTGTTTTTACTTTATTATACAGATGCGCATTTTCACTAGAGCCATCCGGACTGAAGGTATTCCAGATTAAAAATTCAGAAACACGAGTTACTCGACTAGCTGAAGTGAGTCTGGCCAGGCAAAAGCGCAACACCAAAGGCTGAACACTTGTTTACTCAGTGTTTCCCTTGGAGACGGATCTAAAGCCCAATTGTTTTTCATTACCCTGGAAAGATTTACTGGATTGTATAATAAATTGCATTTTTGTTCAAAAATAGAAACATAAATAAAAACTACACAGCATTTCGTTTTTAATATTTTAAATACCGTTCAATTTAAATCTGTGAGCGCAATTTTTCAAAATACTAATGTATCTTTGTGTTACCTACGGAATCCACATGGGATGTCTTCAGAGGAAATGGTGTAACGCAAGACACTCTTGACTAGACAGAATTTTCCAGTTTTAAATGTATTGTATCGTTCACAGTACATCTACACTCAAAAATACCTCTGTGCTCTTATGTTCATTTAGCGCTGCTTTTTTTCCCTCAGATGATGGCGAAAAACATTTAGCGTTTATCATCAACCATTTTACAACAAATACATATGTATGTTTCAATTAATTTAATGCTGCCAACGGTGCTTTTATGAATAAAACTGCAATTAGTTGTTAATTATTCACCTTCAGAGAAGAAGGGAGAATACTAATCCATCATAAATAATTTACATAGTGTTTTTTTTTGCTTTCCTTGTGTTGTGTATAAGAACTGCAGCTAATAGAGTTTTAGCTGTATGTTTTATGAAACATCTTTTTCAAAGATGTAGAAGTCTGACAGAAGGAACTTACATATTACAGTATATATATTTATCTAATACAATATAAATGATACATACAGTTAAGGATTAATGTTTTAGAGATTTTTCTAAGATCTCCTGAGGATATTTTATGCGTTTTGCACATTCACTTTTTGACTAAGTTGAAACACTGTTAATTCCATGGCAATTAAAAACAAACCACAGACTCCTTTTGAGACCTAATTTTATTGATGACTGGTAGGAAAAGAGCACTTTTCCTACTCATTCACTCTATGTTTTATTAAAAAACTACACCAAAGAAAGACAATTCTGACAATGACAAAGAACATTTTTTTGGTGTCATGCCTTTACTGCAATACTACCTTGATGCAAAATAAGTTAGAGGCATTAAAGGATGCTCACCTTCAGGGATTTGAACCCAGGCCTCTGGCATCACTAAACAGGGACCCGGCTTCTTGAGCCAAAGGGAAAACTCCTATTAGCTTGGCTATTCACAGGGAAAGGTGGTGATGTCACCACGCTGGTAAGCCAGCTCTCACTGTCAGGCTGGGGCTGACTGTGGAGGATTGGGATCCAATACAGTGCTCTACGAAGGGTAGGCGCAAGACGTAGGCATAGTCAGAGTAAACAGGCAGGGGTCCGAGTTCGAAAAGGCGTAGAAGAGGCGTTGTTGTAGAATCGGTAGGCGAAGGCGTAATCGGGGAAACAGGCTGGGGTCGGAGTCCAGGAAGGCGTTGAAGAGGCGTCGGAGTGCATTCAGAAGGCGGAGGCGTTATTGAGGAGACAGGCAGGGGTCAGGATCTGAGAGAGCCTTCTAGAGGCGAAGATACGAAATAGAGAGGCTAAGACGTTGTCGGAAAAAGCAGGGTCAAGGTCCAGGAGAGAAACAGTTGTATCGCGAAGGAGTTGGTTGAAGGTAAGCTCAGGGAGAGAATCTCAATTGTGAGCACTGACAGGGGGACTAATGAGGGTTTAAATAGAGGACTGATTGACGCGTGCACGTTTGGTACCGGGAGAGCTCGTGGGAATGAGGGAGTGCTTGCCTGCATGAGGGAGATTTGTGACACTCACAAGCAATGGAGGCCGTATGCGTTACACTCTCCCCCACTTAATTTGCCATCCTTGTGAAGGGCTATCCCATCCCACTCTGACACCAATGTAACGCTTCAGGGTTCATGTGGGCCCCCTCGCCGCTGCCACAATAAGGTCACCATCAGGGACTCAAACCCAGACCTCTGGCATCACTCAACAGGGACCCAGTCTCTTGAGGGAAATCTCCCTTCAGCCTGGCCGTTGCGGTCCCTGCTATTCACAGGGAAGGACGGTGACGTCACGGCTCTGGTAAGCCGGCTCTCACAACCAATGGTGGCAGTATGAGTTACAATACACTGGTATTATCCTTAACACAGCATCTTCAGGAGATCCTGGAGAGATGAGATGGTGCTGAAGGAGTGAGCAGGGAGTACAGAGAGGGAAAGGCTGAGGTTATGGAGTGCTGTAGTTGGCAAGATGAGGGCTATCTGTGGAGACCAGTGGAAAGGAGTTGTCTGGAAAAGCAGGCAGCTGGATCACTGGAGGGTGTCCGCTGGGAGGATAAAGACAATGGGACTAGCAGTATCACAGATGTGGTTCAGCAATCCACCACATGGATTGTCCCAGGTTTGTTGTAAGACCCTATGCGAGGCGGTAGAATCCAGAGGAGACAGGAGGCAGACTTCAGGGAAGACACTGAAGGGTTTGTTGGTGATGGTAGTGAACAGTGACAGTACGTGAACAGGTGCACAAGGGAATAATCAAAGGCAACCAAGTCCAGGCAGGTCCACACAAAGGTCAGGGCAACGTCCAAAACTCCTATACCAGGAGATCCATCCAGATCCAAAGGACAAGGCTAAAATCCCCGGAAACACAGGAACATCGATGGATCATGTGGTGACGTCCTCCAGGCCCCTGGCTCAGAGATCAAGGATGTTGGGGATGAGGCCTATGGCCTCATGCAAGCCATAGCCTGGTAGTTGGGCCTCTAGACATCCGCAGTCCATTGCTGAGCCTTGAGCCCTGGAGGCTCTGGGGTTATATAGGGAGAGACAAACAAGGCACACCGGGAGAACATACAAACGATCACACAGAACTAATGACAAGAGATCGGGGGATCACCCTCTAGAGGAGGGATGACATTGGTGACAAGCAGAATGTGAAGAAGGGCTGGTGGAGGATCTCTTTTTTAGAAGGGTGTAAGTAGTAGCCTTACATCAATTAGATCTCAAACTCAGAGCCATTCTAGCCATTCTAGCAGAGAGTCCAGTATGCTCAATTTGATGATTGACCAGTAGATTTAATGTGTGATTGATAGGCAGCTGGTCTGATTGAGGGGCAACCTGATCTCGTTTGCACGGGGCTGGTGGAAGGCAAAGTCCCTGAGCGAAAGCACTGGTCACCCTGGCAATGACAGGATGCAAGCTACTCCCAGCCATGGTGTGACAGTTATTATCAGCAATGTCATCTTTCATGCTTTAGTTAATAGTGAATTTACTGGCAGCAGTAAAAACCTGTGTGCAAAGAAATCTGAATGGTGTTTTTAGATCAGCTGTAATTGATTTTTAAAGTTGGTGCCAATTACTGATTTGATGTGACTATGGTGACAAAATGGTGACATATGGCGAGCTGATTAATTCAGACTTTCTGTCCTTATTTTTATGTCAATAAAAAAGTTACGTGCTTCAGTGAAGTATTGTACTATTAAATGGTTGAAAAGCAGATGAAAACATTCTGGAAAATAATGTGTTTCCATGGCCAACTAGTTCAATCTTAAAGTATAAATATGAGCATATATATATATATAATTCCTTCAATCTTTAGATTCTGACAATATGCCTGGGTTTTAAAAAATATGCAAAGGGATGATATGCAGAAGTTGCACAGCCATATTGTTTGCCACGGTTATCTGCCAAGACATGCTGAATCTCTTATCAGTCATTTTGTAATGATGTACTTCTGCAATTGAGCAACCAAATTCCTGTTAAGTAAATCATTTGATATGCCTTTTTGTAAGAGATGCCTGTACATATGATTATTTGAACTTAAAAAAAATAAAACATTTCAATGTACTGTTTAACATATATTATCATTATTTGATTATGCATTATCATATTTTTGAAGGGACCGATTAAGGATAGATTAGAAGCCTGGAATAACATTATTCCTCACATCATTTTAGAACACAAATACACACAAACACACACACAGAGTATCAATTTAGTACAGTATATGCAGGGAAAACATTATGTATTTAATTATTATTTTTTTTAATTATTTTCTTAACACTCAATACCCTTGACTACATTAAACATTTCCTCTTTAGACAGAATTTAAATTTGGACACTTTTAGTTTATTTAAAAGAGTGAAAGTAAACAGAAAAGAACAGCGTGTCTTTTAACTTTGAACACTGTAACCTGCTGCTATTTACTTTATAAGCAACTGAGCTAACCGGATTATGGGAAAGTAAATTAGCTTCTTTGATTTCCAGTCAAAATGTTGAAATACCAGGAGGGGGTTTATCTCAAAACAGTGCTCAGCCAGCCTTGCATAAGAGAGGCAGTGATCGAGGGTAACATATTCATAGGTGTCTATATTCAGAAGAACTACACTTACAGACTGAAAAAAGCAAATAGAGGGTAAGTAGTAAAAATATAGTTTGTCCTGTTGAGCATTTATATATAAAAACATAGTGAAAATGTTAATGTTACATGATTGATTTTTTTTCTTAATAAATACATTATGAAGACTGAAATAGTCCATTAATGAGGAAACAGTAAAAGGTAGGTGAAAAGGTAGAGAGCAATATCTATGGTAAGGGAATAATTTAACACAAATGATCTTTTACTGTATATAAATATTGTTGGTAATATTGAGAAATATACCCATTAAAGACAGATGTGAGTTAAACTGGAGAAAATTAAGTCAGTTTAATGGTTAAAAAACACCTAACATTTTTGTGAATTTTAAAAACAAAGAACTAAAATGTTTCCATTGAATGTTTCTTTTAACACAGGTATGATGATTTCCTGGGTCTGCCTTGTCATCTTTGCATGGTATTGTACCATTGCTTTATCCTGTCCTGAACAATGCACTTGCTATTCATCTCCTAATGGCACTGCTGTTGTGTGTGTGTCTCTCACAAATTTTCCAAAAGCTATCCCCAGCGACACAGTATCTCTCTCCATTGAGTTCACCAACTTGACCAACATAGTCTCTGAAGATCTGAGGGGGTTTTCCAGCCTACAGGAGCTCCACCTGTCTGGGAACCAGATCAGAAAGCTGCCTGAGGACTTCCTCCGTCACCTCCCTCTGCTCCACACACTGGATCTCACTGGAAATCTTCTGCAGGATCTTCCGCCTGGAGTATTTTGCTGTTCTCCGCTGCAGAATTTGGTCCTTAAAGGCAACCGGTTCCTGTCTGTCAATCCTCTATGGTTCCAAGGGATGAGCAACTTGACCTGGCTGGACCTTTCAGACAACAAACTGAGCTCCCTCCCCTTGGCTGCTTTCCAGAATCTGTCTTCCTTGAAAACCTTGAGCCTCGGCAACAACAAGCTGGAGAAGCTGCCAGAAGGTTGTTTAAATGCCCTGCCAAGCCTGGAGATCCTCCATCTTGATGACAATGAGCTCAGCTCCCTTGCTCCTACCACCTTTGACTTCACAGTAAGACTGACCCAGCTTAACCTCCAAGATAACAAACTGAAGAAGCTCCCACAAGGACTTTTTCAAAAGCTTCAAAGGCTGGAAATCCTGAGTTTAAATGACAACAGGCTGACTGCAGTTCCACTGGGGCTCTTTGACAAACTGGAGGTATTGGGTGTAGAAACAGGACAAGGTCTGGATCTTTCCGGAAACCCCTGGAAATGTGACTGTGAAGTGGCATACCTGTGGCAATGGCTGACCAACCACAAAGACAAAGTGTTCTTCCAAAACAAAACCCAGTGTGCAACACCGGATGAACTTAAAGGGAAACCTATCACATCCCTAACTGAGCAGGAGGTTGCTGGGTCTTGCTAAGAAGGTCTGCAAGATTATTGGACCTTTCAGATCAACATTTGACAACCTGAGGTAGAGCTTCTCCATTATAAATTACTTTATCAGGGGAGTTTAGTTTAGTTCCTACCAGTACAAAACTCATATATTGTATATCGGGGGTATGGAAGAATTCCTGTGTCTCAGAATCAAAACACTGAAAACTATATTCTTTCACAAAATAATTTAAAAAATGGTAGGGGCCCTGTAGTATATGCAGGGAAATGAGGAATTCTGGGATTTTGGACATTTTGAATATTATTCAACAGTTTATTATATGTGCACATTATATTTGGTGTTTAACTGTTATTTGTGAAACAAAATTGTACTTTGCTTATTATGGAAAATATTTCTTTATTTTCACCTAGAATTATGTTCACAAACATAAAGTCTGGCTAAAGCAAGCTACAGGTATATGTCTACCCTTGATAAACATATCTGTTACTTTTTATTGTTACTTTTACCATACCCTGCCTCTAATTACTCTACTATCACTTTTGTCCTCTGTAAGTAAAGCCTGAAATGTGACCCAGTTTTCTTTTATTGCAGAATCCAGCACTATCCCAAAACCCTGATAAAAAATAACAGCTTTATCTGTTGCATCGTGTTTGCTATGATTTGTTCACTCAGAGACATGTACTGTATAAAAACTGGTTCATATTAGAACAACATGACAGAAGGCCACAAGATGGCATCAAACTCACATCAGTTTGAGATTCCATTCTGTTATAATTAAAGGACAGGCAAATAGCTTTAAAACATTAAAACATTACATGACAGTTATGTTTTATATCTTGGTCAGAGGTAAGGAAAATAATTACACTATATACACAGATTAACAGGGTATTAAAAAACCCAGATCACACACACTTTACCAAAAAAACACTTAAGACCTTCAGTTGTGAATACTGGAAAAAAGCAGTCCACTGAAAATGTTAATGTAAAAGCTGAGAACAAGTGTATGAAGTGAGTTCAAGAGGCCATCTGAGAACAGGTGTAGGACATCACTATTCCAACTGATTGATTTGAGAATGCTGGGAATACTGATTCTTGACTGGTTGGTCAAACTGTCCTTTGTGTAACAATACCTCGGTAAGACTGACATTTATTTCTCTCCTTATTGCTGTCATGGTAGTTTTGCAATAGATTATTAATCTGGATATTGTGACAGTGCTGGAAATAATTTCTTTTCTTATTTAGTAAAGTGTAAATAAAGCACTGCACTTTCTATTTACATCTGTGTAGTTCTCATGTATTAAGGTCCCTGAGCCATATTACTTAAGAAAGAGAAATCTTTTACAATGTAGGAATACTTATTGTTGGTATGAATATAACTGGTGGTGATCTCCGGGGCTTTAAGAAAAGTTCACGTTAATATTGGCATGGAATTGGCTAAAAACACTTCTGTGAGGTAGTGTAGATGACCTCAAACACATATTGAAATCAGTTTATCATATAGATTAATTAGAATAGTACTAGTTTGTAGAACTCTATATTGTGCAAATGTCTTATGGAAACATTTGAAAATACTCCTTAGCCTTTTAGACTGTTCTTTTTTCTAAAAATGTTTTCCCCCCTATGTTGTGCTGGGTGGTTTTCAGTGGGTCAGGCCATCATCTGGGAGTTTCGCAATGGTGTTTTTAAGATTAAAGACTGGCCTTGGGAAGTTCAATGATGACACTGGCAAAGAAACAACAGGCACGACGAATCAAAAGGCTACGGAGTTAATCTTGTGGCTGGGGCTTTGGGTGCCATATCAGATGTCATGTATTCTGCCACATCTACTCTCTCCTTCATTTTGGACAGAGATATTATTTTGAGGTACTTAAACCGAGGCAAATTATTGGGATAACAGTGTATTTTCCTCTAGCCCTTTGGAATCAGTGCAGTCTTGTTCTACTGATTCTCACACCGCAGCTAAGATTCAAAGATTATACGTATTATCCCTCCTACCTTCTGTAGTTTATTAAAGGCACAGATGTCTTGAGACAGATGAGCTGTCTCAAATTCCTTAAGAACCCAACTTTCAAAAGCTGCCTACTAGCCTTTTGACTTTGATGAATGAATAAACCTAACTTTTTTTAAACTTTTAGGGACAGACAATTTGCATCATTCATTAATAATTCATAATTCATCATTTAATGTGATTTTAGATCAGATGGAATGATACAATCTACTGCTTTATGTATGTATAAATCTATGTTTATACATATTTCCCCATAATATTTTTGATTAGTTTTAATTAAACCCACTCATGCCTTATTTGCCTGGCAATATGTGTCTTTAAACAGTATACACTATATACTATGCATGGCTGGCTCATATTCAAGTCTACACACTGAACCGTGGCTAAATATAGAAGGATGTGCTCTTTCATGTGGCCTTTTCATGGAAGAACTCATGGCAGAGAAATGAAGTCATTAAATACACGCCAATTCAAGGTTACATTGTTTGTGGGTTTTTAAACTCCCCCCAAAATGAAAATGAATAAATATTTTGTTATTTTTAAGTTATTTTGGTGTGATTTCAGGCTGTTTGGTGGGTGTTTTTGTTGTTACTTTATAGTGTTTAATGGAAAAAAAATCATTTTAGGACTGGAATTTGAACACACTGTATATACATTGTGTGTATAGTATAAATATATATAGTGTATTAAATGTGTTTCTAGCTTTTGAGAGGCCAAGTGATTTATTTTGTAGAACAGCTCTAAGAAACACTGAACGTCAATTGCTTCAGAGCACAAATTGCACTTTTGAATCAGTGGTATGCACCTGGCCATAAGCAGTTTGTGCCTTCTGTACCGTTTCTGCACCAAACAAGAAGAGGACACTGATCATGTGTCCGCATTGATGAAATCACAAATAAGATACAATTTAAACAAGTAAACATTTTAAACGAGCAAACATTTACTGTCATGATATATGCCTTCAGAATGTAATTTTCAAATTGACGACCATGATAATGTGCCCACTTTCAAACTGCCCTGAACTTTTGCTGATATGTAAAATACAGTACATACACTCTTTTCCTCTTTCCCTCACACCTGAAGAAGCAGCTGAAACTTGTCTTGTGTCTCTTTTCTTTCCAACATGGAATAACTTTAACTTTTCCTTTATAATCCCAAAATGTCCCATAATGTAAAAGACATTTACTTTTCATTCCACATTAAGTGTTACAGTTACACTAAAGTGCCCACGTGAATCTTTCAGTTACTGTAGAGAGTTAGGTACAGTATTTACATTAAAGAATTCATCAAATCCATTTCAAGCCAATGATAATACCGTAATAAAGTGAAAAGCCATGAGTCCAGCCCTTATTAAAGATTTGTGCAGAGAACAATGATATTTTAATTGTAGTGTGGTGTAAAGCATACTGAAACAAAAACATGTCAGAGAATGAGAATGGGTTTGCTTTCTCAAGAATAAAACCATACAGGTAAATTAAGGAGAATAAAACATAAAACAGAGACATTTCTAAGGAGATCTATTGTGGTGAACATTTATAAGGGAAAGTTGCATTCTAACCAGAGAGCTTAGCTGCAATTGTAACTGGAGACGCTGCCTCTCAACTTAAAGCAAATCCAACAACAAAGGACAGTATTATTACTCTGAAGTTCCTACAAGCTCTTTAATTTCAGGCAACAAAATGTACCTTCTCTATCTGCATGGAAGAATGAAAATGGCAACTTTTAGACGTGCAATTTAAAAATGCACAGTGTGTACAGTAAAAACTGAGCACGTCTGTGAAAAGCACCATCAATAAGAACACTTCAAAGTAACAAGAATCACACTTTCTTGCTAAGCATCCCTTTCAATACTTCAGACTGATCCAGCAAATTTGATTTTGGACTTAGGAAGATAGAGATCAATATACCTAGGTTTAATCTGGCCTTGCAGGTTGTTGCTATGGTTTGCGGAATTTCAGTAAGGCATCAAGAAAACTAAGTCTTTTCCAAAACTATTTGCAAGACCCACAATACAAGACTACCTGAATTGCACACAATCTCCTAAGATACGTTAGGCCCTCACTGAGAATCCACTTGCTTTTGCTTTTTTATCTGAAATCATAATGTATCTGTATGTAATTTAATAAATAATAATTAAATAGAAGGTTCCTGATTCACAGGACATAAATTACATAATGCTCAGGATTAGAGAACATTGACATTTTGATTTATTTTATAGACATCAAAGCAGTACATCACATTTTTAAAAGGTGATCACTATAAAAATCATCACAAAATATGATATAGCCATACATATATGTCTATACCTAGATTATTGCTTCTTTATTATAATTATTCTATACAATAACTCATTATGAAACGTAAGCCAGACATTAATACTTTGATGTGATGGGTCTGGTCATTCCTTATATTTGATTATCCAAAGAAGAGAAGATAGAAGAATTCTTGGGCATTTAAACCGTAAAAACTATGGAATAAAATCGAACAAAATTATACTTAAATTAAAGTAAATTTTACAAAACACTACTAAAACTTCATTTAGGAAATTGTCCATTTTGGTAACCATAACACAAAAACTTTTATATATAGCCTTAAATATGTTCAAAGAAGAGCAACACAAATGATCCTTGGTCTCAAGGGACTGTTGAACATGAAACATTCCATTTCTTCAGTCCAGGAAATTGAAGGGAGATTTGATCCAAGCATACTAAATCCTAAGGGATATAGAAATCTCCAACCCAGGGGACTGTTTTTAACTAAACAGAATTTATTGGAAACTTATGGGGAAATCATTGAGTTTGAATTCATTCAAAAGAGTAAACGCCCAGCTAGGGGGTTGAACTCTGAGTCCCTTTAATAAATAACGGTGTAAAATTTTAGATTCTCTTAGCTACTAAACTACAAGAATTAGCAAGATGGGGTGAATGACCCGTGGCCTCATTCTGTTTGCAGATCTACAGTATGTCAAGTTCTTATGATATTCAGTGAGCTTTGTTATTTTGTTCCATGGAGGTCCTACATACTGAGGGAAACTATCATTTATATGACTATTGTATAACTGCATTGTTGACTTTTCTAATCCGCTCTCAGAAGCTAATCAAGGCTGGGCATGGTTAATATTGAACTGGGAGATCTCTAAGTGAAAACTGCTATGCTTCTGTAAGTGATACTGGTGGACACGTAAGTGGCAGCATTTGAATTTTTAGACTAACGTCCCACCATGGTGACAGGAAACACTGTGTATTAGGAGGTGTTGTCCATTGAATAAAATGTTATATATATATAATGAGCAACTACTGTATGTGATCATAAATAATCTCCTGCTTTAGAAATATTTAATGTTTTCATTGAAGAAACAATTTCAAAATTCTAGTTAAAGACACTAAATTACCTTAATTTTAAAATAAAATTAAACATTTTGTGCAAATTTAGCATGGGTATTATTTCAATAAAATTGCTTTAGTGCACTTAACCACTCACATTAATTAGACTTGTCCACACAGACATCTCTGAAGGTATCAACAGAACACACAAATTAAAGTACAGTACATATCTTATTTCTAAAATGGTAATATGACTACAGGAAACAAGCTATAATTCTACAGATAATTCCATTTGCATTATGAACTGGAAACTAACTACTGTACAGTATACTGTATGTCTTCATGATTTTTATCTTGAAAATAGAATTTGAAAGATGAGAATAAATATTGACCAGACAAGAACCAAGCAAACAGAAGGTGCATTATGAATACAGAATTAATTTCATGTTACTGCTTGTTCCCACATCAATTTCCACATGGATGTTCAAAACATTTTTTCTTTCTTAGCTGATACGTCTAACAAAATAAATATTAAGATTTAAGAGCTTTTGATTACAAAAATTAGTAAAAAATCAAAATACCTGTAGATTGTACATAGAATAAAAATGTCTGAGTGATTACTTATTCTATATTCAAGTAAAAAAACAGATAAAACTTATTTAAAAAAATTTCAGTCCTTAAAAACGGACAAACGTACTGTAAATATGATTCAAGTCTTTAAAAGATGGCAACAATTCAGATGTGCATGCCATAGTTCTTGAAAAAAAAAATGTAAATGACTTGATCTACTTACCCTTTAGTATCTTTGGATCCCAAGTTGAAATACGAATATGACAAAGCCATAGCTGCAGAGGAGACTATACAGTGCCAGAAAAAAGTTCCTTAGAATGCCAGTCTGAGACACTGAGCCTGTTTTCACAGTAACTGTGAATTGTAAGTAAAATTCTTCCTCCATAGCAACACTAGTTGCTGTTTACAACTGAACAAAGATACTTTTCACGATGGAGCTCTTAAACATATGTTTCCTGTACACTTCTAAAGCTAAATCTTAAAATTAAAGCATAACACTTGCGTAACACATTTGGGAATGTTTTTCATGTACAGTAAGTGTGCTTATCTGTTTTTGTAAGCCCATTGATCTTACTTTTGACTGGATACAATAAACACTACACAGGGCCTTTAGGCTTTTGAATCAAAATGAAATAAGTATGAACTTCTTCAGCCTTTTTATAAATTATGAAGGGTAAGGGCATGCTTCTGATTTATTCAACCGGCATCTCGAATGGTAAATAATCATTTCTAAACATGATGACAACGCACTGATTATCACACCACTGCTATTTACCACAGAATTACTCTGGAATTCTGCAGCCTAGTTCTGGTAGAGGAGTTTCTACTATCTTCTAACTAATCCATTGACTGAAAACATAATTGTTACCTGTGATCTCTTTAACATGATCTCTCACAAAAAATACAATACCTGTACCATTTCTACCAATACTGCCTTTTTCTGATTTTCTGAAAATCTCTGCCGTAATAGGTTATTTCTGTTGCAACTTTGGTTAAAAAATGTCTTTTAGGAAATTTGACACATTGTAAATGTTTCAGATTTAAAGGTTGTTGAATTTTATTACTTGCCTATAATCTGTTTCATTTGCTTTATTTTTTTATCACAATTGCTATGCATGTGTTATGCACGGTCTGCTGTAGTTTCACTAAAGTATGTAATGTTTTGACTCATTGGATTGCTGTTTTTAATTAAAATCCATTCTTCATTTCCTAACTAGGAAAAAGACATATGGTTAAAAAGTGGGCAATGCTTTAAAGCATTTCTTAGCATGCAGTTTTTACAGATGAATTTCTGACCATATAAAGATTCGCTTCTTTACAAAGCTTTATTTTTTACCTAAAGGAAATGTCTGTATGGTACTTTTTCTATAAGCTATTAGGGTTTCTATTTTAATGTTCTTAAAGTTTAATTAAATTTGACCCTCTTTGGACCAAAACTGTATTTCACATTCTGAATAGAAATGTCTAATTTCAGACTATAATATAATAAAGAAGTGATGAGGTGTAATAGTAATAATTAGTATTTGTAAGAGAGACTACACATTGAATGGCTCTTGCTTGATCTCCACAAGACTTGTAAGAAATATTAAAGGCACAAAAAAGCTGTTTCTGAAGTACAGTAATTTCCCCCCTACTTCTGTGCTGTCCCTTTTCTCCACAAAAGTTTCATTATAAATGTATTACTTTCTGTTTTGATAAGAAAAAAAATGTGAAGCCAATCATCCAGAGCTTATTAGCACTGCAATTATTTAATGGTTGATGGGCATTCAATGAATTACATTATCTGCAAAAAAATTCTATTAGGCTCAGCAACTGTAATTCTGCCATTTATCACATGGATTTAATAAACTAGCTACCCCTTTACAAACCCTTGATTTTCTGACATGTGAATGATGCATTTGTCATTTTCAAGAAATTAAGTACCAGATACAGTAAATAATACTAAGAATTTTACTATGTATATTTATGCAACAGTTGTAGCTAACAGAAAATTTAATGTTTCCCCTTTTCTTTAATTATAGCCAGGTTATGAAGCATCATACAATTTTACTATAAAAGAGTGATAAAAAACATTTAAATTGGTTAGCAAATTTACTACAAATGTACTAAAAAGGCTAGTTGCAGTGAATATATACTGCAGAGTAATCTTCAGCTGTGTTACATCAAATTACAAAGTGAATATTGCCTCAATGTATTAAGGTGAAGTTAATGAGAGATGCTGTATGTACTGGTTTGGATATCTCTTAGAACACTTTAGTGGGCGAAGCATTGCATGAGCTTTGAACCAGATTTCCAAATAGCAGTAAGGCACCCAATGAACCTAATGGTAATATAGGTTCCAAACTCAAGCTATATCTTAGTTTTTGTCCCCAACGTAGAGTTCCTCTGCAAAGCTGTCAACATTCTGGTCTTCAATGGATAGGAGTCTCATGGGTGTAGTGCAAATTGGTCATTGAGGAGGGGGAAATACAAAATAAATGAAATTTCAATGGAATAACGCCATCTATCATAAAAACCTCTCTCCTTTCTCTACTGCAAGGCCCAAATTATTTTCTTATAACAGTTTTAATTTTAACTGTCTGCCACACAGTATGTCTACGTCATTTAATACGTTACACAGCATAAGATATAATCAATTGTTCAACAAAAGATAAAATATAACCTTATAGGCAGATGTTCTTAGGCTCTTTCCTAATAAAAATATCAATTTAGTCAATTCCGGAAATGTTATTAGTCATTTATCCACTAGAGGCCCCCAACAATACTGAACGGAGTTCCTTTAGGGAAATGATTGAAAATTTAATTTATATAAATGTAGAAAATTGAATTTAAATCAGGATATTAGATGGGCAGTAACTAAGTACCTTTACTTGTCAGTTGAATATTAAGAATTCATAAGTAACCTTTATGTAACTATACTGTTCCAGTGATGCAATTCATACCACCTTCATGAGATCAGCCTTTTATAAAAATCTAAGTGAGCCTGGATTAGGGCTGGAAAAGGTCAGGGAAATACCAGTAGTTACAGTATGAATTTGCTGCACCTATTTCCTATTGCATGGCCAGCCTGTGATGTGTTAATGAAATCATGTTAATGGAGTGAGAAACCTTTGCTTGAAGTTTATCACAGCACTTTGAATGCAAGTGCATATGTATGTAAGACTGCAAAGTCTTTTCAAAAATAAATTCTGATGCCTGTGTTCATTGCAGAATGTTGCTGCTTTGTTTTCTTGGTTAGCTAATATTTATCCAACTTTATAAAAAGCTAAAAGTTGTTAAGCTTTATTATTTGCCTCTGTTGTGCCTATTATGAAGACTACACAAAAGTTAATTTGTATGCTGACATTAATGTTTTCAAAACAAGAGCTGAATAAAAATATATTTTCACAGAGACACTCTCTTCTCATGGATACAATGTACTACCTGCCCATAGTACATGTTGCTGCTCAAGACACAATGGATAATGGATAACTTTTTCTTACACAGGGTGGCACAGAGGCAGAGTGGCTAGCATTGTTGCCTTGCAGTGCTTGGACCCTTGTTTGTGTGGAGTTTGTATGTTCTCCCCATGTTCATATGGGCTCACATGGGTTTTTGCTGGGTGCTCTGCAACCTAATAATACACACTACTAGGTTTATTGGCTTCTGGAAAAATTGGCCCTGGTGTGAGTACCTGTTTGTGACATGTAATATACTGATGTCCCATCCTGCCTTGTGCCCATCACCTGCCAGGATAGACTCCATCTCTTCCATGACCCTGTATTGGACAAAGGGTCAGAAAGTGGATGGATGGATTTCTTACACATTAAGCATTAACCAGAAAAAAGCATCCTTTCTTAACATAAAATGCCAATTGTAAAATATAGATTGTTGGCTAATTTCATTAGTTGATACCTGGACAGTGACAGACTCCACCCTTACTCAAGGGACCTACAGTAAATATATTAAAACTCATGATGGATGTCAAATTAAATCTATAGGCTTGCATCGACTTTCAGGCTGCACATCAAAAAGACTTCTTCAGCAGTCTGTCCAGTCTGCTGTCAAACTCCCAACCCAATCACTAACAAACCCCATTGGGCCTTTTATTGACCCAAATTGGCTAATTACTTAACCACACCAAAAATACAATTATCACCCACTGTGTCTATTTACAAATACTAGAGTTCTTAATCGCCTCTAGTGGTGGGTTGTCTATTGAACAATCTCCTCAAAGACAGGCCTGTCACACCAACATTGTAAAAAAAAAACTATTTCTTTGCCATGCAGATGTCTAGGAGATGCTGCTTCAGATGTTGTTTCAAACGTCTTTGTTGTTTTCTCTTTTTCTTGTGGTATTGTATCGCATTCTAGTTCCTTGCCTGCAGTTCATATCTATCAAGAATTGTGCCTTTCTTGCTCATCATATTTTAAGGACTGCTTGACTTCTTACTTACTTCCATTATTGTCCCAGATGAGAGAAATTTGCTTTTGCAGGCAGGTAGGAATAATAAATTATACATTTAACACAAAATGTTGTTGCCTTACAGTGCTGGGGCTCTAGTTTTAATTCCTGGGGTATAATCTGAGTGGAGTTTATGGTATGCTAGAGATTGCGTGGGTTTCCTCTGGGTGATCTGGGTTCCTCCTGGAATTCAAAAACATTGTATTGATAGGTTAATGAATTGGGAAAATGTATCCTGAGGCGAGTGTGTGTGTCTGTGTATGTGTCTGTCCTGCAAAGACATTTTGGTTGTTGAGTCTTCTTCCAGTGACTGGGAGAATGAGGAAGGCACAATGAAACAATGGGGTAAGTAAAGAGGAAAAAAAAATAGAATGTGAGAATGGGTTCAGGAGATGAATAAGTGTGTCCAAAAACAAAGAAAGTTTGAAGGTTCAAAATATGTAAATGAATTCTGATTAAGATACAAGTAATAGGTTTATTCCATGCTGAAAAGAGAAGAAAGAAAACACAACGTTCTGGCCGTGGAGCCCTCTTCAGGTGGGAGGAAGAAGGTTATGAAGCCACATCTGAAGAAGACTCCCCGGCAGAAACGTTGTGTTTTCTTTCTTCTTTTTTTTCAGCATGGAATAAACCTATTCTTGTTCCTTTAGAGCCTGAGCATGCTGACGCAGCTACCCCCCTGAACTATGATTAAGATAGTTTGCTAATACAGATATCAGCCTATATCTGTCTATAAGGTTGCTATATTACAGATTGCAACCTTGTAGGTTACATGCAGGTCTGACCTAAATACTGTACATTTATCAGTTGAAAATGGGGGTGTTTGCGCATGAAGTCAGCATACCTCCTGTACCTTACTTGTGTAATTAGTCTGTTAATTAGTTGATATTGGTCACAATATTATTATTTACCTGTTACATTCATTTAAGTATACCCCCAGTTATTGGCATGTTAAAAGCCAGTCCAAATCCTCTAAATAACAAAGGACGTTACTGGGCATGCTGTTTGGTCTCCAGAAGTAGAAAGGTGATATGATACTCATATTATAGGGACTGCCAAAATGACTCAAGTAGTGACATTGATACCTAAAACCATAGGCATCTTGAAAGGGGCAAGCTACAAGTGAGTAGGCCAGTTACTGGAGTCAGTAATGTACTGGCAGAGACTCCTGGGTTGCAGAGCCTCTGTGGAGGGAGAAATAGATGTTTACAATTGCACGTCACATGAAATGATACTTGAAATTTTACTTAATGGTCAAGTGAATACCAAGATTATGAGTAGATTTTATGTTCCATAGTGATGAGAATTTGTGATTCTGAAATCCATGACAATTATATCACTGTTTTAGGGAACAGCTCCAGAAGACTCTAAGGTTAGCTAAAGGTAATGCTATGAAGTGTCGCAAGCAACAGGATTCAGCATGATTCAGTATGAGAATCGAATAGTGTTATTTTTTAGAGTTGGTTGGTTGGTACATATCATGGTCATCTGGATTAAAAGAGGTCTTCCAAAAAGAGATTTCCAGTGGGACTCCAGTCTCATTTTTAATCCTTATATCGATATTGGATCTTTTTTGTCAATGGACTTGTTAGTATTCACATAAACATGATAGATTTGAGAAGGTTACTGACCACAAACCAGAAAACAATGGAAGATTCTGCATCAAGACCAATTGGAGAACCCCTAAGAAGGAGGGTTCTAAGAAGAGTAAACAGTGGGCCAGAGAATATATACCATAGTTGATGCAATTAAAAGTCAATGTAGCAATAAAACTGGGATATGAAAGGAAAGAAGCATAGACTAGTTGAGCGAGGAAAGGAAAGACAATATTAAGGACTTGGAGTTCTTAATTGTTCCCAGCATGCACTCACAGGCCTGTGGGATATGTGGGCCGATTGCCTGAAGCATGGGAAACTCAGCAAGGGAGATGAAAAGAATTAACAGGTGGTATACTGGAAAGCTACATCTCAATCATGAGGCTCTGAGGTGGGGAAACTGCCTGCATCTGAGCCCAAAGCTTTTCACTATGGAGCTGAGAGTGAGAAAGTGAGTCAGCAACTTGGGATTTCAACAACATGGAAGGGAGGAGCATTGCTGAATA